AAAAAAAGAGGCCAAAATGGTACCTTTTGGGGTACAACAGCTCGTTACTGGAGCAGTACCCTTAAAAAAACACCTTTGTACCTTTTTTTTTACCCCTAATAGGTACATATTAGTACCTTATAGTAATTTGTACACATAAGGTACTAATATTTACCTATTAGGGGTAAAAGGCAAAAATATGTTTTTTTAAGGGTACTGCTAAGGGTACCTTTTTTAAGGGTACCTTTTTGGCCTCTTTTTTCTGTATATAGCCTATTGACCCACTACAAATTCTGAAACCACAGATAACCCTATTATTTAAATGGCCATCACATAAAAAGGTCTAAATCCTTGGTCTGGGGCCGTAAAAAACAATTAAAGGTTGTCTCTTGAACTGCACCTTCACTTCCCTTTTTACTTTTCTTAATTTATCTCTGTCTATAATATCTCTGTCTCTCCCTTTTTTATTGTACCTGTCACTTCTTGACCAGCAGGTCTACTGTTATGAACAGAACTGTGTCCACCTTGTTGCAAAACGACCACCTCATTGCAATTTGTTATCACAGAATGTTATTTATCTTAAAATGACTTAAATACCCGATATTTAACAAACCTATATTTCATACAAATATATCAAATAAATTTTCTAAAGTGCCTAAAAGTCAAAATCAGTACAATATCTTTTTTGAAAAATCCTAATACTGAACACACTATTGCATTATTTGGCTGTGATATTTTTGTGTTACTGTCAGCTCAAGCGCCCTCCTTTCCTATACAATAAATCCATGAGAATATCTGTCTGCTAAATGTATTATTGTAACTTTCCAATTGATAATGATGTCCTTTAGAACAGTATACTGAATTATGTTAAAAATAGGGTGCCCCTGATAGCCTAACAGGTGCTAGCAGTTTAATACTCAACTAGGTAAATAAAGACAAAACTCTTTAGCGTATTTACAGATGAAACTGACCTGCACCTGAAGCCCTGAACAGGCATTTTTGCTACATTTCGCTGCTTTTTCTGGTCGCTTCCTCTCCTTCATCGAGGCCCGCGCATCGACTCTGTTTGAAACCGTCGTTTGAAGCACGGAACAGACGTGAGCCGATTTGTGTAGCAGCGCTGCCAGTCAAGACTAACCGATTTATGATTTATTATTGATTTATTATCGTATGACAAAATCGGAAATTATCACTTTGGCACATTGATAAGACAAAAATATAAAATATTAATAAAAATAATAACTGGAAAAAAAAAAAGACAACAGGGCAGCGGCCCAAATCACCCGCCAGGCCACCGGGAATTCGCCCGTGCTCCCGATGCCCAGTCCGGGCCTGGCTCCGCATGGAGTATGCGTTTTACACAGCCTGCTGTAAACGGGGTGAGAATCAATCACACAGAATCTAGTTGGTATGCATGGGATTCACAAAACTGGGACTTCTGACTCACAAAACAGAAGAAATTCTTCAACAGCCCTGAAACCTTCCCAACTAGGCCTACATATGCGTGCCAGAAACAAATAAGAACAATTGCACCTTTTTGCCCATGGAAATACATCACAGCGCATGGCTCCTTTTTCAATAGAGCACTCTAAGGGTCAAGAAGCTTTTTATACTGTGATTAGACTTGTGCTGGTATTTTTCAAGGTCAAAATCATTCATATTCTGCTCTCTAATAAAGTGTTCCTAAAAGTGTGTTATTTTTTCTTCTGAATTTTGGGCACAAGTCTGCTCTGGAAGTGCAAAAGCGATAGTCTCAGAACTCAAAAAGGTTTGAAAGCTGAGACCAGAAAAGTTAATCACTGCAATTTCATTTTCAATTTTGGTGAGAGACTTGAGGTACCTTCCCCAGAGACAGAAGCTGTTTTACCGGTGGAATCACAGAGAAAAGGTATGAGGCCTTCAGAATGACTTCAGCAGCTCATAGAGTATTCACCAGAGCACGACCACTGAAATTTGAGCCTGTGTTCAGCTGCACTGACTTTGCCAGTTCTCCTCTTAGAAAGCAACATTTCTGTTTTTCACCCAGAATGACAATGCTCAGGTGACACTTGTGTCTCAAAAAGAACTACAGTGCATAAAGTGGCATACTGTTGTTATGATTTTATACACAAACTTCAAGAAGTCAGTGTTAACAGGAATATAAACCGTTCATAGGTTTGGGGTTGTAAAGATTTTAAAAAAATGTTTTTGACAGAAGCCTCTTCTGCCACTGCTGATTTTTTTTAACTAAAAATACAGTAAAAGAGTAATATTGTAAGATATTATTACAATAGCTGTTTGTATTTGAATATATTGTAAAATATAATTTATTCCTGTGATGGCAAAGCCGAATTGTCAGCAGTCCTTACTCCAGTCTTCAGTGTCTTTAGAAATCATTCTAATATGTTGATTTGCTGCTCAAGAAACATTTATTATTTTTATCAATACTGTAAACAGCTGTGCTGTTTTATATTTTGTGGAAAAAATAAAAAATAGTAAATATATCTAATATAAAATATTTTGTAGGATTATGCAATGTGTGGAAAGTTCAGAAGAACAGAATTTATTTGAAATAGAAATCTTTTGTAACATTTACCATCACTTTTGATTAATTTAATGCATCGTTGCTGAATAAAAGTATTAATAAAAAAACACTGACCCAAACTTTTGAATACTGTAAATACTCCCTCTGTAAATAATAATATAATTTCTATAACAAATCTTACATTTTCATGATTCTGTTGAAGTGCCATACAGTAAATCACATTTTAATGAATGTTTGTTGAACTGGTTATCACTTACATTTGATAACATTTTATGACACCATTTCCTTAATAAATGGCTAAATCTTGGCATGGCTACTTCATAAGGCTTCATTTTTCATTCACGCTGTTTTGAATATATGACATTCAGAAATCAGGATGCATCCAGCAGGAATGCATTGGCAGTGCTGCACTGAAGAATGTCCTCGGGCTGTCCCATTAATCTCTATTAAGTGGAGACATGTCAGACAGGACTGTGAGTGTGTGTGGCATGTCGGCAGATAGATGTGTGTTCACCTGCATCAAGTGATGCCCACTTTCTGTTCTGAGCGTCCTTGTATTTTAATCCACCACATTTGCGCCTGATTCTTATATTCTCTAGAAGAAAGGAGGGAGGTGTCTTGCATAAAGCAAACAGATGGGATAACAACTTGACCTATTTCTTCATCTGGAAATCACACAACAGAAAGCAATACACAGATAGTGGTGAAAGACGTCAGCAAGGCTATGCATCTCCATATAGTGATCGAACCAGTAGCATAAGAGCCCTCAGTTTACCAATACGCTGATAGTGCACTCCTCTGCGGGGCTGTTTTTATGATTTACCATATTAGGGCTGTATGGTACTCTAATTTATAGTGCTCTTATCATTGGTATCATACTTTGTTAATGTTGTCAGGCCCCTACCATGATGCAGTGAATCTATCTGTCTATCCATCCATCCATCCATCAAATAATCAACTATTTTTTTTGCAGTTCACTTAAGTAGTCCTGCTGGTGTGACAAGTGAAATTTTAGAAGTATTAATATTCCTTGTAGTCCCTCACTTTATATTTATTCATGAAAAACTGCATGTATAATAATTAACAAAAATTAGAAAATTATGTTTAAATTAGTATTATGTACAGCATGTCATACTGCAGGGCACATCTGAATATGTGAACCTCTTTAATAAAAAAAATAAAATAAAATAAAAACATGTACAGAACACCAATGAATGGGCAAGTTCTCATTGAATATAGAACAAAAACAGTTATTTAAATGCAAGTAGTACTACTATATTGCTTTTATGTTTCCTGCTTGGTCATTTGTATGTGTATGCATGTGTGTGTAAAACATATTTATGTATGTGTAAAACATATTTAGATATTGTTGAAAATGATAATATTAATAATATATGTTAATACAAGCACCTTAGACACAAACGTTGTCTAGTCTTCAGTCAGAGGTGACTTCCGGTGAGAAGCATATCATTACTGCTAAACTGTTGTGATATTTGTTGCCTGTTATTATTTTCATAGCAAAACTGATCTAGTTAAACTCTAAATGTCTGAACGGCGCGGTTTTTGCTTAATTAGAAATGATGCGTAATAACTTGAGGAAAAAAAGAAAACTTTATTCACATACAGGGCTATTATAGCTAAGTGGCAGTGTTTATTTTGCTGAAATGTTGTATGTACATGGCAAAAAAAACAAACAAAAAAAAACAATGTGCAAGACGATTTGCCCTTAATTGTAGAATGTCAAGTCTTTACTCACGATTTAATCGTTCAACAAAACAAACTAGCTTTTATGACACTCGACGCCACTCTGGTTATGTTTACGTTCTGATTACATATTTTACAACGCACTCTATTGGGCTCAGGTGGGCAATTTACCTCACATATTACCTCAGAGGAGACAGTGTGTAGGTTATTGAGCGCGTTACGAGTGAACAGCTCCCTTGTCGGTCGGTTGTTTTTTGAGAGAACATCGCTCGCAGTGAAGAATGTTTTCTGCCCGTGTCGCGCGCGCACACATGCGCAGCGCGGCCAGCGCGCGAAAGAAGTGAAGCGCATCCGCCGAAGCTGCAGCATCGGAGTCACACGGATATCCTCACTCGGATTGCTTTTACATACCAGGGCTCGCCCTCCACCGCCTCACCTATGCGCTTTTCACATGGGGATGCAACTCCTCACCTGCTCGGAATATATTCGGCTGTTACATTTACATTCGCAATAGCGGTTGGCTCAAATCAGAGAGCGCGCACCTCTGCGTAACGCACAGGAGGTGGATTGTGATTTGCGCATTTGGTGATGTATTGGAGGTGAAAGGAAGGATTGGATCGGGCAGGATTTGATAAGGACCCGCAAAAGGGGAAGCAGCTTAGTTTATAACCCCTGCGACTGGACACCTTCTGGTTTTACGCATCATCTCTACTCTCGAGATCTAGTGCGCGAGAGCCTGTAGTAGCCTATTGCATGTCATGTCTTTTCTCTTTGACTGATCGCGGCATCCAAGAGGAACCTAAAGATTACGATGCCAGGACAGTGAGAAGCTGCATCTCAGTTGTTCGGTAGCATGGCTCCGTCCCGGAGGGACTGCAGATGTGACATGATCTTTCTGTCGGGATGCCTACTCCTGTCCGTCTTGGGATTTCAACCTGCATTGGGGAAGGTCTGCAACGATTACACAAGGCACGGCCTGGACAACAACTGGTACACGAGAGATGGTGAGAAGTTGCCCATCATGGTCCTGATGCCGATGAATGAATCAGCGCTGATGAGCAGCATCAGTCAAGGCATCGAGCCGGCCGTTCAGCTGGCCATCCAGCACATCCGCGAGTCCAGGCAGTACTCCTTCTCGCTCATCACCAAAATCTACGACACGGAGGTAAATGCGTGCGTTAACGTCTACGTGCATGTCGCGGGGGTAAACTGCAGGCAGTGTGCGTTCGGCGCGCGCTCATGTGGAAGACGCGATTTTTCTAGGGTTTGTGCGGTGTCGAGCGATTGTTTCCTGTCAGATGTTTGGAGGAGGCAAAACCAAGCAAGTTTGTGTTAGTGAAGTGTACACAGGTGTTGTCTTGATGAGCTGCGCACGTGCCAGTGGCTCGTGCCGTAAGTGCTGCATGTTTTCCTACATCCGTTACCTACAGAAAACCATTGTCTTGCTCATTTGCATGAACGGGACAGTATTAATCCTCATTTTATCAGCGGTTTGTGGCTGGTTCATTCAGCACGATGAGTTCTGTATCTATTAGATATTCAGCTGTAAGCTGGTACACAAGGATGTTAATTCATGTAAACTGGTATATGAAACAGAAGTAATAAATTCCTTGCTATTATATTAGGGGTCAGTTTTTAAACCCTGTTAAAAAAAACAGTTTACCAGCTTAAAATGGTTTACTGGTCTTAGCCGGTTTCAACTGGTCTTCCAGCCTGACCAACTGAAAAGTGCCCAAGAGCAAGTAGACTGGCCTGGAGAGACCAGCAGAGTAGGTTAGGCTGGGTCAAGATTTTGTATTTTTGTATTTTTTGTCCAGCAGGGTAGTGTGGATTTTCGTTACACCTGAAGATGGCAGTAATTAATTTACCTGTCTTTTTTTTCCTCTATATGACCGAAGGTCTTAGAGGATAAATACATATTTTGAGTGCTTCATACTAATTTTAGGTCTCAGTAATTCCAAATGGAATGAATTTGTTGAATTTGATGAAGTTAACCTTTTGTTTTTCGTTGTCATTGATATTGTCATATCAATGACCGTTCATAGTTCTGCAGCGCTGATAACATATTGAAATGATTAATTGACTTACGAAGGTACGACCTAATAAATAACACTTTAGGCAAAGGGTAGGCCTACAGGTAATTATTTTAATGAAGTGCATATGCATATTAAATTTCATGCTCTTATGGGTTGTTTTTTAAACAGTAACGACTGAGAAAATGTGAAAATTACTCCTTCGTGCACAAGGCACTTTTTGGCCTCTCACCATGTGTTATTTGTGGTAGTGTGATAGCCTGGGGAGATGAGGAGCTAATCAATCGGCATTTATCACCATACTTTCATATGTGTGACAACAGGGAAAATGAGAATGCGCGGGAAAATGGGTAGCTAGATGTTTGCGTAATTACTAAAGTGTAAATTACCAAGGCGTTAAAATATCTGTGTAAGCTATCTTGCTAGGTTTAAAACAGACTGTCACTACGTGTTCTGCACATGCTCTAAACTGAATCGTTTGAGATGAGCATGAAGATGCATGACCCCTGATGTCCGGTGGTGCCTCGGCAATCTATTGTGCATTGATTGTCATATTGATTTACCAGCGTTTTGTTAAACAAAACGGTTTCTTCTTACAAACATACATTGTTGCTGTCTTGTCTTTGATTTGGCCAGGATGCACTCATGCATCTGAAAGGCTTTTGAATAATATTCCTCTACACTCTCTGTCACAGTCATAATGAGCTGAATATGTCAATAGTTGGCACTTGGCAGCTAATCTTTACAGCAGGAAGATGAACAGATTTTAAATCAGACATCTGTAGATCTAACGTGTAAAGCAATAAGCAATGATGTAGGCCTCATACATAAAAAAAATCATGCTAACTTTTGTAAAATCAGGAGCTTAGTATAAAATTCTTCTTAATTGCAAATACAAATTATTGATGTTTCAGACTTTATATTTATGTAAGTGATATTTGTAATCATATATATATATATATATATATAAGTGAGATTATTAATTGTAAATAATCATGTATAAACATTAACTGCATTGTGTGTGCAATTGTAATATAATAATCCATTACATATTTTGACATCTGTTGTCGCTAAACCTAACGCCAACACAAAACTGTTGGTATGAAGAGAATCGAAGAAAAACATATGGCTGATTTACGAACATCTCAAATAATGATGACCTCTTCAGATGTCCTCATTAGTTTGTTTATGACATGTTTCATTGTATTTACAGCATTATCTTCAAACATTTGACCCTCACAAGTATCGCCAAACCTGTTTATACACACACTCGCACTGACAGGATACTTGCAAACAGCAAACAGTAATAGCTGTGCGTATGCATGCAAGGATTTAACAGGGCAGATGTAAGTAATCAGTCCCAAAGCAGAGGCTCTTTATCCCTTTATCCCCTCTCAACGCATCCCCCGGCAGACAGAACCCATCCTCTCGCCTGCGCCTGGGTGCTGCCAGCCGTGCCCACAGCGCTTAGCCTTTTACAGATCCACTTGAAAGATCTGGAGAGAAATTAAAGAGAGAAGCCCACGTAACATTTGCACTGCGAAGGACCCCCTCAGTATCTTCAGTGGACTGGAGATCATTAGCTGTGCTAAAGGTCACGGTTTGGTCTTAGATCATTCCGACAGCAGGGATGCCCATCGTTTTTGTAGGGGTCCACTTTCATCTGCGGTAAATGATATTGTTTGCCTTGAGTAGTTTTCATCCACTAAAATAGTGAGCGAAGCACAAATAGAAATGGAAAAAGCATTGATGTACTTTTATTATGCAATTATCTTGAAAAGGCCTCAATTCAGGGACTCTTATCTGTTGTAGTGCTTATTTACCTGCATACGGATATCTTTCAGGTCTGTAGACGCAGTTTCTCATTCATGGATGTGTTTTTTTTTCTTTGTGGTATATAATTGATGATGTGGTTTTAGTTCTTCACATTTTAAATTTGCTTCAGATTAAATCGCCATGTTCCATATTGCTCTGTTGGAGGAATGAGAGGGTCTGACTTGAAAAATTGCCTCTCATAGAGTTTCAGCAAAAGGTAAGAGAAAAAAGCCCCCAGACGAGTCATTTAGTGCTCATTTTAAAGCTTTGTGACTGTAGATCTGATGTTATGTGTCTTTTTGAAATACCCATGCTAAAAATACAGCCATCTACAAATGATTTTATCTTTTATCTTTCGAATAGGCAAGATTGAGAGGCTGTATTTTTCATATGTAGAAAGCTATTTCCCTTCATGAGGGGGGCTTGACTCTATTGAAGTGATACTCTTGACCTCTTTGAGCCCAGCTCATACTACCACCCTGATGTCATGCGTACAGATATCAATGGAGCTTACGGCTCAAGGAGGAGCAAATGCATCTTGTCAGATTTGCACACAGAGTGCAGGGACCCTTGCAGAGCTCTGAGCCCTTGCCATACATTTCAGTTATTCTCGAAAGACCAAAAGCCCCAAGCCTCAAGCATCTTGTCGTGTTGTCGCAATGAGTTACGATTATGGCAAAAAGCATTGCCATAATAGCTCACAATAAATTAAACTGTAATGTGTCTTAAGATGACAGCGTATGTGTGTGTTTGAACATCTATACCTCGATTTTCAAAACAACATTGGTCAAAGTAATTGATTGAAATTTGTTTAAATTATGTATTTATTAATAAAATGGATGTTTTAAGCTTCTATGATATTTTACCTCATGATACTGTAACAATATATGGCAAGAATCAATACTTTAACTGCATTTTCACATATTTCGATTTGATGGAAAAAATTACTATAGTAATAAAAAGTAAATGTATAGTAATTGCTTGTGATTTAGTAATATGTAACCCTGGACCACAAAAGTCATAAGGGTCAGTTTTTCGAAATTGAGATTTATACATAATCTGAAAGCTGATGTATAATATATATATATTATTATATGAATAAATAGGCTTTCCATTGATGTATGGTTTGTTAGGATAGGACAATATTTGGCCGAGATACAACTATTTGAAAATCTGGAATCTGAGGGTGCAAAAAAATCTAAATATTGAGAAAATTGCCTTTAAATTTGTCCAAATGAAGTTCTTAGCAATGCATATTACTAATCAAAAATTAAGTTTTGATATATTTACGGTAGGAGATTTACAAAATGTCTTCATGGAACATGATCTTTACTTAATATCCTAATGATTTTTGGCATAAAAGAAAAATCAATAATTTTGACCCATACAATGTAATTTTGGCTATTGCTACAAATATACCCCAGCGACTTAAGACTGGTTTTGTGGTCCAGGGTCACTCACGCACTCGCACTCACACACACACACGCACACGCACACACACGCACACAGACACACACATACACACACACACACACACACACACACACACATATATAATTAATAATATTATGCTTGCTATAAATATTATACTGTTCAATTATTATTGTTTTTATTTATATATATTTTTTCTTTTTTCTTTTCTTTTTCACACCTAACAGACTTCAATTGGATCCGGCTGTAATTTTACTCTGTCCGGGGACACATTACAACATTTATGAGTTCTGAAGTCCTGTCATCTTGAGCTCTGTGTCACCGTTCATGTGTAATGAGACTGTGGACATCAACTGGATAACTGCAACTGCTCTTCTGACTTTTCTGAAATATAGTGGGGAAAATGAGCACCAACAGGTGTAAAGTAATATCTCTATAGAGGCCTTCATTTATCATACAGTGAGGGAAAATAACAGAGACACTGGAGCCTGAATTCAGTATTTTGTCAAGCTTGTGTTGTGATTCAGTGGGTTCAAACTGCTTCCACCCTGTGCTTTTTTGTTCTGCATGCTGATAAACAGAGGCCTTGCCCTTCACAGAGGTCAGGTATCTAAATGAAGAGTCATGTGGGTTGACCTGCTGTATAATTTAATGTATTTTGGCTGATGTATTACTTTACTAAAGCATTGCTTTTTGTTATTTAACTAATAGTCAATGTTTGTTGTTGGATTGTGAAACAGGGCTCTAATTGCTGACCTTTTAGTGAGTCACACTCATAGCCAGCAGTTATTCTAGTCTTATTCTTTTCTGCCGCTCGTTGACCTAGACGGTCACATCTCAAGGACTCAGGCCATCAGGTCAGTATGGTGCTGAACAGGTTTTTAAG